CCTCCACCCCCCACCCCGCTGCTGCTCTGGGGCCAGGCCGCCCTGCCCGTCTGCTGGCCCTGCCCCCCATCCACCTGCAGGGCCGGGGGCACACATAGTCAGCAGCACTGGCCTTGCCTCTCCCCCCATCCACTCCATTTTCGCGGCCTGCAGGGAGCAGGGGGGATGGGGCCAGTGCTGATGGCTCTGCCCCCCTCCATCAGCTCTGTCACCACCACCTGCCGGGTGGGTGGTGGGCAGGGACAGAGGCCCAGGGCCAGGCTCACTCCCCCACCCTCACCCCTGCTGTTTCAGGGCTGGAGGTGCTCCCCCCACCCCCATTCGGGGGGCCGGTGGAGATAGAGCCCAGCATCCAGCCCTGCACCCACGTTCCCCTTGTCTGGCCCCACCCCCCTAATTTGGGTCTGACCCTGTTCCCCCCCTTCCCCACCACTTCAGGCTCGACCCCATTTCCCCCTGCTGGTTCGGGGCCCTCCCCCTGTCCTCCCCTCACTGCAGCAGCCCCAACCCTGTTTCTCCCACCCTTGTGCAGCCCCTGCCTCCACCCCAGAGAGGGGGTGGGCAGGCCAGCAGAGCTGGCCTGGCCCCCCATCTCCCAAGTCCCCTCTGTCCCTGCCGCCTGCTTGCTATAGTGCTGTATTCACACTCTGATTGGCTGTCAAGATAGCCAATCAGAGTGCAAATAAAGCATTATGGACAGACAGACTAAGACTTATATATATATAGAACTGACCTTTCATTTTACTCACAGATTTGGGAGTTTTTATCAGAGAATTAGCAATTTTTTATTGGACAATTTGTGATTTTTTTATCAAGGAAACCAGGATCCCTGCTGATGAAGTTGGCAATAAGGGAACCAATTCATATTGATGGTCATGCTGGGTGTTTAGACAGGGACACTTGTATACTAGGGAAGTGTACTAAGACCTCACTGATTATTTTCACTGAAACAATGCAGAGCCAATGTTTAGCAACATCTTTTGTATGTTATCAGCCTAAGACAAATTGGACCTTCTGACTTAGAGGTGAAAGGTGCACTGTATCCTTTTGCAAACCCAAAGGCATAGACCCTGATAACGCACAACAAAGTTTATTTTTCACTTGTGAACGTCACTCAGTACTGACGCTGAATACATAGTAATTAAAGTAATTCAAATGGAAAAAAACAATGCATGGGTGAGACTATAAAGCTACACAAAATCCCTATAAACTAAGGCAAATATGTGGCACTAACAAGAAAAGTGATGGTGTGAAGGGGCATAAACTTTTATTGCCACCTGCTTAAAATAACCTGAATAGCTCTCCGCCAGTTATGCAAGCTACCCCCAAAATATGCCAAGAGAATCTTTACAGCAACCTACGCCAGACACATGGAATCATAATTATTATAACAACAGTACATTTTATTCCTCTATTGCCTCTTAGCAGATAATCTCAAAGTCCTTTTACACACATTAATTATACCTTACAACACCCCATTTGGTACAGCAGGTGTGACTCACCCTATGGTACAGACGAGGCGACATGGCGTGCAGAGCAAAAGGGCACGTATAGTGGCCACTGACCCACTAGGTAGGAAAAACAGGAAGAAAAGCCAGTTGCCCTAGCTTTGCATCTTCCATTTACTGTAAACCCTAGTGTTTGCTGTACACCCATATTTATATATTAGTTATTTCTGACATTGTCCCTCAGGGGTGCGACTTTCCTTAATCATCACACCTCTGAGTTTTCCAGCTCCTTTTTCCCTGTGATCCTAATCTGTTACTGTTGATGAGTTCATGTACCTAAATCCTATGTGGGTTTCAGAGTTCACCTCCACAGGTAAACCCAGAAAGAAGACAGTGATGAAAATGTATTCTGACTATAGCACTTCATAGCAAGTTGTATGTTCTTCAGAATGCTGATTGGTGATGTAGAGAAGGAGAGGCATGAACCAGAAGACCCTTCTGAGTGGAAAATGCTGCCACATATTTGCACACTGGCTTCCCTTTGAGCACTAGCCTACAATGAGAGATTAAACTTGTAAATGCCTGGGAGTAAATATTGCTGGCTGGCTTGGTAAGACTCATAGATTTGGACCTGCATGAATAAAGAAAACATGCAGTAACACTAGCCTGGGTGAACATTATTACAACCATTAATCTTCATGCTAAGTTATAATGTGCTAGAGGTCAGGAAGAAGTTCCATTTTCTTCTCCTTGGGAAAGATTTCACAGTGAGCTGAATTACTAAATCAACTCCTATCAGATATAGGGTAGCAAAGTACCTGGACAGACAGGCCCACATTCTGTGCTGCCCTCCTGTTCCAGCCATAATGAGTCAACGTGGGATAAAAATCTGTGCAGAATATCATTGTATCTCCCAGATCTATGTGTTTTTGTTAGTGCTAGAACAAGTCCACCAAGACTTGTCCAGGCTAGGACCTGACCACTGGGACTGCAAAAACAGAATTACAAGAATGCATGGCAAGCCTTGTTGGCTTACAGTTCGTCATGTGCAAAACTAGTAGCCAGGAAGGATTTCTAAAGGCAGCTTACTTAAATAAATTCTTCACT